TTTTTTCATGATCAGAAACAAGAAGTCCATTTACTGAGATTTGTGAATTGTTATTAAATGTTTTATTTTTACTTTCATCTGTCACTGATTTAATTGTTTCCCATAACATTTTTGAATTCTTCCTGGCTGAAATAATTTGATTYTTAAAATATTGTTGTTTGGCTTTGCGTAATTCAGCAACACATTTATTTCGGCAACTGTTTAAACGAGACCGATTTTCAGAAGTTTTTGATATTCTATAAGTTTTCATTGAAGAAGCTTTCAACTTTAGGAGATGTATTATTGAGACCAACACAAAGAAATCTCTCTGATGGTTTGGGATGTTTTAGAAATTTCACAGTCGCAGCCTAGCGTTGGTCCGTGGCCTTCCTCAGCTCATCACTCTGTTCTCACAGACGAGGCTTCGCTCGGCTGACGTGAGGATCCTTCGGCAGCTGGTGGCAGTGCACGAGGGGATCGAGGCCATGCACTGGCTGATGGAGGAGAGGGGCGGTATGATCGGCCTGCTGGAAGAAGACGACGAAGAACTCGGGCTCTGCATGTCCCCCTACAGGTCTGTGAGGCTGCCCCAGTGTAGGAGCAGGAAGTTTAAATAGATTCAATGGACTTATGGTGAACTATTCTCACAGATTTCTCAGCATTTAGACATGTTTTCAATTATTTTATTGGCTACAAACTGACAAAAGTGAAGATAAGTTTATTTTTGCAGCTTCAGAACCTTTTATGCACTGGGCAGCCATGATTTTGAGACTTATGTTCATTTGAAACGTTTGAAACTGAATTCTGTTCAAACTGACACTAATCTGATCAGAATTAAACTCTATTTCTCCAAAATGAGGTTGCCCCAAGAGCTATAGGGGTGCAATGATACAGAAAATTCATGGTTCGGTTTGATATTTTTTCAATACAAATAAGAGACATGTCCTTCTTAACTTGTAATTTATTTAAATTTCTTTTGAACATTTGTTTAACCTCAAAATTTGCTTTTAAATTAAATGCTGCTGAAACAGCAGGTTTCTCTGGATCTGTGCTCCATAATGCAGCCTAGGTGGAGTAGTCGAACACAAATCCACTGATCCTTCAACACAAAGCATCTTCAGAAGACAAGCTGATAAAATAAATGGTAAAATCTGTATTGTTTAATGCATAGTGTGTATTGAACCTAAAGCCCTGTGTTGAATGATTCAATACAGATACGTGTATTGTTGCACCCCTACAAATTACAGCAGATAACATTTTAATTGAACCCAACTTTAAAGGTCTGAACTAAGAGTTAGGTTTTCTCATATTGATAGAGCCCACATGGTTCTGGAGATTTAGCCTAGATTTATTCAGTTTGTTGATAAAAATCCATTTTTGTGTTTTGAACACAAAAATAATAATGAACTGTTTTGTTTGTAATAATTAAAACTTTGCAAACTGCTGCCAACTACTACATTTATTTGTTTGCCTGCAAAAAAGCTAAAAATAGATCAAATGTTAAACTTCTCAATCATAATTATTTGAGTTAAATGTTAACTTTTTCAAACTGCATCTTTTTTATGTTTGATTTGATTTGATTTGATTTATTTATATAACAGGAAAAGATTATTAAAAATCAAGCCTGACTCAGCATAATTGCTGTTTTACA